GGGTCTGTGTGTGTGTGTGTGTGTTTGCATGTGTGTGTGTGAAATAAGAACGAAACAGTAAAGATGTACTGTGTGTTTTTGTTGTTTTTCCCCTCCAGTGTGTGCCTATATTGGAACTACTGTATATATTTAAAAGATCTATTCAATCACTTACACGAGGAGGTAGATGATTTTTCAGAAAACATAATGAATTCCATTAGAACCCAAGGCCAACAGAGCAGCAGGGGCAGGATCCTCATCAAATCTCACACACAGCACGTTATGATGTGATTTGAGCCTATTAGTTTGTTCACACTCTGTGATTCCCCCTGCTGTCCATGCTATGAAAAAGAAACAAAGAGGGCAGAATGAAGGTTAGAGAAAGAAGGGAATAATACAACACAAAACGGCAGAATCAAGAGGATGAAGCCAATGAGATAAATTAAGATCACAATAAACAAGTGTTGCTCAAATGAGTAGAGGGGAAAATGCCAACAACAGAGATGGAGGCAGTTGAGAGGATGACGATGAGAACAGAAGCGAAGGAGCGGAAATGCCTTTAATATCCAGGGGGAAGAAGGGGGTGTCCTGCCTGTATTTCCCTTTCAGAGTAATTCATCTGAAAGCCTCAGCTGCTCTTCATACAACCACCAACCTTCACTGTGTTCAGTGTGTGTATGTGCATGTCCACTCACCTGCTGTGAATAGTAATAAGCAGCAGGGCGAGATAAAATATGTCTGCCAAGTTAAGAGTATAATAGACTTCCCTTCAAGGCCACATGTAACAACAGCCTGAATAATGACCTGCAATGATGTACACAGCACACCGAGCTCTACACTGGTCAAAGTATCCAGAGCAATGCACCGGGTCGAGAAGGGTACCCACAAAAAAACGATGTCTAATGGGTAAAAAATATGTTTATATTAATTCACAGGTATGGGCACAGGTAAAAAAAAAATAGACCAAATGAGGGTGGGTAGTTAAATAAACATAATTTAAATAATAATAATAAAAAAAACATATAAAGGTTAATTTAAACATCTAACCCAGCATTATTTTATCAAGCCTAAATAACCAATACATTTATTGTGAAGGCCTATGGCACAACCTTTGATCCCTCAACTCACATCCAGCTAATGGGACATCACTCAGTCATCAACATAGGCGTCAGTGTGTCACACTAGCAGATATAGCTAGTGGTGAATACAAAACTGTGGACAATACATCATCGAAGGCCGAGTCAGACATATGGGAGAAATTCACTGTTGCTACAGTCCGTGAGAACAATGTTATCAGTGGCTTTGCTGTTTGTAAACAGTGTCAAAAAGTGTTAGCGTTTGATAGCCGCAATCTAAGCGCTTCTAGGGAACAGCTGCAGGGCCCAGGTGCTGTGTCCATCGACAGATACTTTTCCAAGAACAACATCCTCAACACTTTAAAGTATGTGCCTGTGTAGCTTAAAGTCTGTTTTAATTACGGGTACAAGTTGGGTCACGGATCTTATGTTAACGGATCAGGTCGGGTCCAGATTTCATTTAGAAATAACTCCTGGTACAGGTCATGTTGCATGTGTGGGACGGGTGCGGGTTTTCAAAACTGGACCTGTGCAGAACTTGGAAAGAATCCTTTCAGAAAGAAATAATTGAAAGCTACTGAAGTTACTCTAGAGTCCCTCCATGGGCTCAAACATCACCCCAATGGAGGTTAGTTCTACTGCATCCAATAAGCTTATCCAAAGTGGGAGCTACAAAGTCATAAAAAACTCAAGTGTTAAGCTGTTTTTATTCAATGTGATGTCATCAAGTGACAACCCCCAAGGCTGAGAAATAAAGCCAGTGCCTAAGTGTTAAAACCTGCAGCTCCTCAAATGGCCACTTGAGGTTGGCTCCAAAAGGGAGTCAATCCCTCTAGATTCCCATGTTAAAATGCCTAACTTTAGAGCAGAAATAAAAATCTTTACAGCCTGGTACAAAATACAGTTATGGCTCTATAGCTAATTTCCCCTTCCTTGACAACTGTAGGGTGGGGGAATTTTTATATAACGCATCTGTTTAATTCATACTCAAAGTTATGCATAATTAAGGGTGTGGCTGCTGGAGGGTCACACCACTGGTGGCTAGCTTCATTCTGCCCACTCATGCTCCACTACCAAGAAGGCTACGGCCAGACTTGAGCTTCAAAACTGCTTTTCAGGAAACCAGTGTCCCCCGAGGAGTTTGTCCATCTTTTATATACAGTTAGTGGCTGTCATAGTGACTGTTTATATAGTATAATTTTAATAACACATCTGAGGACCGCTGGAGTGAAACATTCCTCGGTAGTGTTGCTCTCATATAAGAGGCTACCAACAAAAAAGAGAAGACAAAATTAAAAGAGCTTTGGTGAGCTCTGCAAAGCATTCAGATCCATTCCTTTTTTCTTACTGTGTCATGTAAGATTTTATTTAAATGACACTATTATACCTTATACACAAACCCCTAAAGAGGCAGCTGCTTTAACATAATAAATATGTGACTAACCACAATGTGCAGGATTCTAAACTTCAGTGGCCAAACAGCTAATGTTTAAAAGTCTTAATGAACCATAACCATAGTCACAATAAAGAGAAAATTGTGGGTGCTGCCAGGATATAGATCGAATCAAAAGAAGAATACAGTTACTGTGAAATCAACACATTTTGAAATCACAGGGACACTGCAGACAACTGGCCATCTGGTTGAACACAGTAACTTGGTAAGAAAAGTCTTGGTCAGGATGTGACCAAAATCCACTGACCAATCAAGAGTCAATGATTTCTAAAGAGATGCAAGAACCCAGCAGAAAAACACATCCCTCTGCAGCACTGCATTAATCAGGCAGTTGTATGACAATGGCTACATGAGTAAAACGACAGATACAAACGACAGCCCACCTGGGGTTTATCACACTCCAAACAGTAGGACAAATAGCCTGTGTGCTAAAAACCAAGCAGGACACTACGCAAATAGCTTCCTTATGCCACAGGATGCATAAGGAAGCCAGGCAGTGGTAGACACATCAGGACTGGCAGAATGGTGTCCTTGTCAAAAAAGACAGAGGATCTAACTTCTACCAATGCAAACAACCTAATAATATAAATAACTTTTCTATTGATCTGTAGAGACACATGAACATCAAATTTCACAGATGCTTCCAGTGACCAGTCTGCCTGAGCTTAAGAAGATGGGATGTGGGAAAACTGGAAGGTGCATACAGTACAAGAATCACAAGTAGCAGTAGCTACACTGTAACTGCTGCTGTGGAACTGTACTGCATTTTACAGAGAGGGGTTTCAGAGTTTTACTCAACCTTCAATAGCTGCTTTTACACTGCCCATTCAATGCGGGATTTTTTTCACTAAATTTCCACCATGCTGTTCTCTATAAATGGCTTCTTTGGTTTCCCTCTTTCAAATTGTGAAGACCAGGGGTGAGTCTTTGCTCTGCTAGGGCCTGAGGAACAGCTGCAATGTAAACCTGCTAAATTAACACTGTCTCCATGAGACTGGCATATGCATTATTATAATCAAAGCATATTAGATAATTCAGATACTTCAGACATATGGGTCTCTGTATCCTCCTCGTCATTCCCATCTGTTTCTCCTCCCCCAGTTTTCAAATTTCTCCTTGCTTTCCATCTCAGTGGATCCCTCTCTCACACATCTGCCTCTCTTAAGAGTCTGGCATAGATTTCTAACAGTGCAACTACTTTGTGACATGCTCCACAGCCAGTCATACGTGGAGCGCCTGACTGCTTTTTGAGGTGGATATTGGACATTATTCAAACTACTTTGCACAAAGTGTACACATATTTCATACACTAGCACACTAAAATCCAAAATATATTCGATTCACGTTCCTTATTAAAACATGTCTTTCAGTAGTTCACGTTAGCGCATTTTAGCAGTGTTCAGATAAGACAAGACTCAGTAATGCATAATAAAATTGCATTTATAGTGTTTTGATATTGTTTGCAGTATGCATTAATGTATGAACCAACACTCCAAAACAGAAACATATTTTTAAGAACCATCATATATGATGAAGATAAGCAGCAAAATGATGTCAAAATAGTTGCCTTGTGCAACATTTCAGAGGTGTGTATAAAAGCTTTTCAGATGTATACACCAGAAGATTTGAGAAACATATGTATGTTTCATAACATTTGGATGTGTAAACAAACTTTTTTGCATTGTGTTAAGCACTTTCAATTGCCTTTGTGTATGAAAATGTGCTGTATAGAAAAAATATGCTTTATAAAAACTTGTGTTTTGTAAAAAAAAACTTGCCTTTCCTTGTTACACAGCACAGAAAACACACACCCGAAACCACACAATATCAGAGTCCAGACATTACACACAAGCTGGATCATAATAAGAGTATATACAGTAAAACTTAATCAGACTCGGTCAGATCAAAACAAACACAAACAGGTTTTGATGTGTTCGGCAACATGGATGGCAACCATGAGTTAAAATACCATCTGCAGGTGATGATGACAGTAGCTGGGTAAACATATCCATAAATCTCACTGCAATTCATCACGAAAGGAAAAGGATCTGATAACTAGTTAAGTAGTTAACTAGTCTCTTAACAACTCAGACAGGAGTGTAACATCTCCCATATGACCTCTCTGACTACAACTGAACTCCATATTATCCCTTTATAAAAGACAATCATTTTTAACACTTAATACATTATATCATAAGACAACATCCTTTAATGCATGTCCAAGCATACCCAAATCAGTGTGCTTGCCATACTACACAACTCTGCAGTTATGTGTTTGTGTAGGAAAACAGAAAACAGCATGTTTACAATTTTAGTTTCTAGATCTGGGTTAGAGGAGAATACTTGGGCATATTACTGGCATGTTTCTGTCAAATCAACCTCAAGGCAATTACAAACTGTAGAAAGTGTACCAATACTCTGATTCCCAAGGGAGCATCACAGCGCAGAGGCAGCTGCGGATGACAGTGAGTTATAAGATCTCAGGGACTTACCACAGTTGGTGATGGTCAGCAGGTCCAGACGCCGTTGTTGCTGGAAGACACACAGAAAAGAAAGTAAAAAAAAATAAATGAATAACATCAATTTTCAGTTATAATATCACTGTGATATCATACAGCCATACATGTATCACATATACATACATGTATACACACACTGGTCTAGCGTGGTCAGTAAATAATAATACCACCACTCAATGGTGGTTCGGGTAAGTTCAGATAAAAGGGTATTTCTGTGTCTTTACAGTTACAGTAATTAAAAAAATATATATTATCAACTTGTTAACATTTGTCTCAAGTATATTTTTGCAGTTCTGTTCTATAAGAAACTCAGTATCATAATTTTTTTTTTATAAAAGATTGTTCGGCTTTCAGAGTAGTTTCTCCAGCACAAACACACTGTTTGTATAAGTGTGACCTTTGAAAGGGTGCAATTTTACACTTGATGTATCCAGCAGCTGAGGAGGAGTCCAAAGGAGGTGCTAGGTGGCTACCCCTCTCTTTAAACTGCTGCCTTCCTACACATACACACACACACACACACACAGACACACTACACTGCCGAGCACTGCAGTAATCAATGCCCCAGCCCTCCTCTCCTACCAGTCCCTCAAGAAGGATGATCTTCACATCCTAGGAAATGATGAAGGGTATGTGTGTACAGTACATGTGTGTCACACACACATGCATGTGCGTACACTTGTGAGAGACACAATGTATAGCTAGGTCACGGTGAAAGCCAGCTTTTAGCATTAGACTTCATTAATATTCAAGCACCATACAAACCAGTTGCTGAGAGGGATAAGCAGAGAGACTCTCAGCTTACTAGGAGTCCTCTCCCCACATACAGCGTTGCTTGGAGTGGAACTCACTGATAGGCTACTAAACACTTATGTTAGTATTTAGTAGTCTCTTACTCAGAGTGACTTATAATAAATAATATGAGTGGAAGGGAGCCCACTGAGTGCAGAGACGGAATAACTTCAAACAAAAGTTCACCAACATATTAGGAATAGAAGAGAATGCAATGTTAAGAGTCAGTGCTTTTTTTTAATCATTCAAAAAGAATCTTGTAAGAGACAAGTGTGACAAGGATGATGATAAGCATAAGAAAGAGAACGTCTTTTTAGGTAATATAAAGGTGTGGTTTGTGTGGCCCGCTGACTTTGAGTTCTCCCTGTATGTACAGTAATGTTAGCCTTAAAGTAATGTATAATGTTGATTTAGTACAGCATTTTCAAAAATGTGAAAAGTGTCAGAAATGATAGCCTAATGAACAAAAAATAAAAGAGAGACCAAGAGAAAACTTTAAACACTGGCTCCTTTGTCACTACAGCACAGCTGGCCAATAACTGTGTGAAGTGGGGGTGGATGTCGGGTCGTTGGTTTTGGAAAGCTGGGGGTTTCGGACCATCAAACAAGCAGCTCCAATGGAGCATAGTGGCTGTTTAAGATATCCTGACAGTTGCTTGCACACATACCAATACAACTTGATTTACTGAGCAACTGAGATATTCTATTGAAGTATGCAAACATGTATAAATATTTCAAAGGATTACAAAGAACATTTATGACACATAGCCGATATCTGCCTGCCAATACAAAATAACTTAGAAAAAAGATGAAGCTAACAAGACAGAATGCTTTGTTTGAGAGAAAGTTATTTCTGAGGGACTTTATGAAGAGAGTACTGAAGAAAGAAAGATGCTTGTGTTTGGACTCAGGAGGGAAGGTTGTTCTAGCCAAGCGGAGCCAGAAAAAGTATTTTCTTAGTAGTCTTAGAAGAAAGATGCTCCGCTAACATGCAATCATTTGTGATGTTGAAGCGCACTCACATCCCTATACACAATCACAGTATGGACTGTACATTAACTGTAAAGATGTGGCTCAGGCTCACTCTATGTGGTGGTGGTATGGATGATGAAATGAATGATCATCTAAGCAGTAGAGGTCACTGTGACAACATGAGACAAGCTGAGACTATATACTTCACCACTACACATACTGCATACAAACACACACACACACACACACAGAGAGACCAATACTACCACCTGTGGAGACCGCTGACTCTCTGCAGTCAGTCAGATATCGAGCCACAGCAAGAATCAATAACAGAGGAACATTTACACCTCTAGTTCTTCTCACTGTTGTTGAACAGGGGATAAGACCATGTTTAAAACAACTAGAACACGATCATAATCTGAATTACACTGGAAAATACAATAACACACGTTTGTACACAGTAAAGTAGATCACCACACTGAGATTACTTTAGTAAATTTTACTATGTCTGTATGTTTCAACTTGCTTTTTACTGAGTATTTGGCACTGCATATTCATTTTTATTATACAATTTAAATGTTTCCTATTGATCTCTTTTTTAGATATTGTTTAAATGGTCCTACTTCTTTCCATCTTTTTCCGTGTAATCTTCATCTTATGTGAAGGATACTGTACAGTGCATCCTACAGGTAAATAATACAAACAGGTGCAGATCTTGTCTTGTCCAAACTTTCTGGAAACAAGAGGTTGATTAGATTATCAGCTGGATTTGGTAGCACTCTCTACTGGGTCTCCAAATTTCTGCACGTGAACCTACGGTGGACCAAATACTAAAGCAAAATAATTTCTCATACTCACTTTTATTATGAATGAATATGAATATAAGCAGTTGTGTAGAATCAGTAGCACACACATATATGCACACAACACACAGAGGAACTTTTAAACCTGACAAAATCCAAACATCAATTTTGTTGTCACATACACACATACACACACAAAAAAACTCAGTCTGTAACCAGCAAATGAATAGAGGGAGCACCCTACAGCCTGCCAGTAGCCTACTTATAGAGAGATAATGAATCTGTGGAACAGAATTACAACACAATGCTCTCTCTTCCTGCTGCTTTTGTTAGTCCTTAACATGAATAAGGTGCTTAGTCTTCCTTAGGAGGGAGAGAGAGACAGACACACACACACGCACAACACAAAGAGAGAGAGAGGTGGGGGGTCTTACACAGAGAGAATTGCATTAACAAAAGCATTTCAGGGCAGAAAATAGGATTGAATTAATCTTAATCAAACATAGCCAAGAGCTGAGGGATCACACCCTGGCTGAAGCCAACTCAGCTTCAGAGTGGGCAGCCACTGCCCTCTCACTGCCATAGTAACAAACACAAACTGTAGAAGACTGAACCATTATTAACTCAATGATTGATTTTATTGTTATGGAGTTCACTACAGGGGATAATAAAATTATTGCTAGTGCGTTTTGGTATCTGAATGCTACAGATTTACATGTTTTTATGGCTGAAAGCTTTAGGGATACTAATTGGATGGACCTGATGTTGAAGACCACACCTGTAAAGAGCTCCAAGAAGGTTAAATCATTATTTACAAAAAAAAATGTCTGGCCTAAGTCCACAGACGCTTACTACAGGTGAATGTAAACTGGGGCCACCAAACTGCTATGAGGTCAGAAAACAGGGAAGCAGTTGGGAGCCAGAGGTGATGGCCACTCCAGCTGTCACAGTAGCCTAGCCAACCAGCAAGGACTCTGGGGCCCTGAAGCTAAACAGTACTGATACAGACCAACACAGGACTGGAGTCCCAAATTAACCAAAGATAGCTTCAGTGTTATGTGAGAACATAATTAATAAGCTTTTCTAGGCATGTAACCTGACCAGAAAGCCCACTGCTGTTCCTGGATGTTTTATGAGTGCAGGTCCAGTGGAGGAAGAAGCACTCGGATTGTTTACTTAGGTAAAAGTAGCAATACCACAGTGTAAAAATACCCTGTTACAAGTCCTGCATTCAAAATGTTAATTAAATACAAATACAAAGATATTAGCATCAAAACATACTTAAAGTATTAAAAATACTCATTAGGCAGAATGGCACCTTTAACAATAATGTATATCATATTACTGGGTTATGATAACTGATGCAGTATTGTGCACATCACATTTAATGTTGCAGTTTGTAAAGGGGGAGCTAGTTTTAACTAGCTTATATGCCTATAATTTGAATTACTGCTGGGTAGCTTGTCAATTTTCTAATGAAGATCAATAAAGTCTTATGATTATACTGTATGCTTGTCTTTATTCATCTGAGTCTGAAAGGTAACTAGTAACTAAAGTTATCAAACGAATGTAGTGGAGTAAAAAGTTGCCTCTAAAATGTAAAGTCCAAGTATAAAGTAGCATAAAAATACTCAAGTAAAGTACAGATACCTTAAAATTATACTTCAGTACAGTATATGAGTAAATGTACTTATTTACGTTCCACCACTGTGCAGGTCCTGATAAAATCCCATCTTTACCTCCAAAGACTGACTTCAAATCAATGAAAAACTGATATTCTGACTAAAAGACAGACTGCTCACTTTCTCCATAAATGTCTTTATCAGATTCTCATCATTAATTTCTATTAGCTCCTCCTGAACATTACTACAGTAAAAAAAAAAGTTTTAATAATTAGTCTTGTGATAGGATTCTGAAAACTGCCACCCCCCCTAAAGAAATCTATAGTGCTCTAATCATTATAAATACATTCATTAACAAAAGCAGTCAGCAGCCCAGAGAGCAGACTGTGCCACCATACTAATCTGGGTGGGAAGAGAAGAACAAGGGGGTTCAAATGGAATGACAGCAGTGGAGGAACCATTAATATACTAAACCCCTACTTTATGACTAAATTAAATATTCATGCACAATCAACGCAAAACCCATTTGCCAACATTTCCTCCAGAATTTACTTTTCATATTTGCTGACTGTTATCATGCAGAAAAGAGATAGTGTGGAAGGAGGACGGGAAAAGAGGCAGAGGAGCCGTAGGGGACAGGGGTGGGTGGGGATAACTAGAAGCTCAGCCATCATTTTGCAGCTCATTTCAAATTAATTTAAAGTCAATATGGCTAAATTACACTGCCACAGCCACCATCCAACTGCTCACACAGTTTTCAGTATTTTGTTTTTAAGAAAGAATTTGATGTAGCTATTGGGTGGAAATAAAAGTGAACTTCCATT